ACAGCGATGCAGCATAGAGTTCTGGCAGGTCGATAACAAAAGTGCAGGGACGCTATCAAAGACTTAGTACCCCTCCATCCTGGCTGCGCCCCTACGCCCCGCGTGGTATCAGTAATGGAAGATTCATTCAATGTGTCGTCTAGAAATTGAGTGCGGTTGCAGGAAACTACTTTTCTTCACCTCTGCTTAAAAGGCGTGCACTGTGCAGTATGCAGGATGCAGGAAACTGTCCAAGTGCAGTGTACATGCAGGATGCAGGAAACCGTTGAATGCGTCGAGTAGAGGATGAAGCAAACCGTCGAAAGGATCTTGCAAAAAAATAAAATAAAAAAATGTTGCATACGGTTATCTTTGGTGGGTTCCGACTTCTGCCGAGTGTTGTGTGTGGCATGTTCGAACCAAAAACGAACTTTGGTGGACGTTGTAGTGCTTGTTTCTTGCAAGGAGCTTAAAATTAATGGTCCCAATATGGGCAATCTAAGCGTTCTCTATGAGAAAGGATAGTCCAATTTGACAATTGTTAGTCACATTGATGAGATTGACAAGTGGCATGAGGTAGAGCAAGTGGCATGGCTTGTGCGTGATGCCATCGGTAAGTCATTGGCAAGTGTGGTTAGGTTTGTAAGGATGAAATAAATTTCCGTGTTCTCGAACGTGGCGACGAAGGGAGAGTCATAAACTCTTGCTTTTGGGTCGTCAATGAATGTCTTATACCTAGGTTACCTGATCGGACGTCTGAGCCCCCCCTGACCGTCCGGGTTTGTCCGCTCGGACAACCGGTCGGACGTCCTCCCTAGACAGTCTGTCCGAGCCCGAAAAAAAAAAAAAAAAAAAAGTCTTTAGAAAAATCTGAAAAAAAACTATGTTATACAGAAAAATAAACTGAACAACCTTTGCATTGGGATCATATCGAAATTCGTTCGCAAATTTAAAATAAAATAAAATAAAATAAAAACCTTAATTTATTTTTTTTTTCGTACTTTTAATTGCTAAACATAGAGTTGTCCGGGCCCGGACGTCCAGGACCCCCCTTACTGTCCGCCCAGAGCGTCCTGCCATCGGACAGCTGGTAACGTAGCCTTGTACGAGTCTGGTTCACATGGGACGTGGGTACGCTTGTAAATGTTTATGTAAATGATAGTGTTTTTGAATTTATACGTAATTCAATCCTGAGTTGGCTCGTGACATTTAATTTAGACGTAGTTCAATCTTGAACATGGTTCTCATGTGGCTCGTTGTATTAAATTTATACGTAGTTCAATCTAGAGTTGGTTCCTAGCATTTTATTTAGAAGCTGTTTAATCTTGAGTTTATGATTTCTCGCACGTGTGTATACAATTTACGACTTTCAAACAAAGTTCATATGATACTTTCATATTATTTTACATTATGAACCTCGTTGTTTGCTTCTCTCAATCTGTTAAATATATATATATATATATATATATATATATATATATATATATATATATATATATATATATATATATATATATATATATATATATATATATANTATATATATATATATATATATATATATATATATATATATATATATATATATATATATATATATATATATATATATATATATATATATATTTCTTCATAATTACAATATTTCTCGAATTGCGACGAAAATCATACTCACTTGACTTTTAATTTATGACAATGGCAAATCAGTTTTGTCTTTTAATCTACATAATTTGTCGGAGTGCGACGAAATCCATATTACTCACCCAACTTTCAATTTGTGACAATGAGATATGAGTTACGTATTTTAAGTTACATAATTTGTCGAAGTGTGACGAAATACATACTTAAACCATCTAGTTCGCCGTATGGTTGACTTAACTCTTCGATTGACTTCCAATTTCTGCCAGTCACAATATCATGTAAAATACGTCCGACTCAATGCTCAGTGACATATGAAATTAATCGAAGTGTGATGAAATGCAGAGGTCATTGACAACCTTCGCATCCAGCGTCTCATTGCATTCACTGTTCAATTGAGTTTCAATGTGTGACAATTACATGTCAGTTACGTCTTTTAAGTTACATAAAATATCGAAGTGCGATGAAATCGATACTTAAACCATCTTGTTTACCGTGTGATTGTCTTGACTTTTCGATTGAGTTTCAATTTATAAGAGTCACAATGTCTGTAATACTCATTATGATGTAAAACACGTCCGACTAAATACTCACACAAAATTGATGAAGGTGCGATGAGATCGATAATTTAACATTTTTGTTCAGTGTCTCATCACAATGACTCTTCTCTTGAGTTTCAATTTTTTACAACTCCATGTCAATTACGGATTTTAAGTTACAAAATTTACGGAAGTGCAATTGAATCCACACTTAAACAATTATATTCAGTGTGTGATTGCATTGAATTTCACTTCAATTTTAATTTATTGCATATCAATTGCACTCAATTCTAGATATGGTTATTTTTAATATAAAATTAATAGCTTGCGAGTACCAATTTAAAATATAATATCATCTTTTAATGAATAACATGATAAATATAAATTCTTTGGCTGGTGGAGAGTGTCGGAGTTGTTTTTAATGTCTCAATGGATCATCATAATATTTATATTGTAATGTAAATATATTTATCGATATAGGAATACTGAATGATTCAAATTCAAGGTTTAAATGGATGATTATGACATTTTAATTACAATGTAAATATATTTGTCTATGTAGGGTTAGTGAGTGATGTAAAGACTTCGCTTGGTGGAGAGTGTTGGAGTTATATTCAAGGTGTAACTGTAAATACTTCGGTTGGCGACGAGTGTAGTAATTGTTTTCAAGATCTAAATTGATGATCATGACATTTCTACTGTAATGTAAATATATTTTGAGTTTAGTATGCAAAAATGAAAAAACAATTGTTACGTTTCCGCAAGTGTGAATGTCGTTGGTTTTTCTCGTGTACATGGTGTGGATTGTAGATATTTATTACTTGCATGAAATTGAAGATATTTATTACTCGCATAAATTTAAAAATGTTTATTGATTTTTGATGTTTCGCCACAAATGGATGTTTGTGTCTGATGGATCAACCCTTATGCCATCGTCGTATGATGCACGATCTTGCAAATAGATAATATGTGAACGCTTGATGACTTCAACTTTATATTATGTTTGATGCACGACCGTGCAAATAGATGAACGCATTTCATATATTGTTTCGTACATGCGCCATTGCAAACCAAATCCACACCTGTAAGGACACCATTAAACACAGGCAGGACCCTCCTATACTGGCGACTCACATTTCGGGACTTCTGCAAGCTATTTTGCATTTCTCCCTCTGTCTAACTGTGAATTGATTCTCTTTGTCTAACTGTGAATTGATTCTTATTTTCCACTACAAAATCAGTATGACTTTCATTCCCTCCTTCGTCGACCTCCTTCTCCCTAAACTTCTTAGAACTTGTATTTTCCCTGCCTGCAGCTAATATACCCACATCTATACTTAATCATTAGAAAAGTCTTTCTGGATCAACCAGAAAACGGTCTCTGCTCAACCGCCGTGAGAATGCTAACATGAATAACGACCTTGCCATACGGAAATTGGTCACTGAATAATGATGTTGAAAATGATCGTCGAAACTTCTCGAAAGTTCATTTTTCGTACAGTCCATCTACCCAGAGAAAATTGTAAGGAGACCCCGATGACGGTGTCGATGGGTGCTAAATAGTGACAAAATTTGAATTAAGTTAGCGCTACTAAACAAACAAAATTGGATGATTGAATAAGGTTTACATTTCCACAAAACAACTTCTCGAACCAATGCAAAATAGCTTGCGTAAGTCTCGAAATATGAGTCGTCAGTGTGGGACTCGTAGGGTTCTGCCTGTGTTTGATGGTGCCCTTACATGTGCGGATTTGCTTTGCACGGTCATGCATCAAACATAATACAAAGTCGAAGACATTAAGCCTTCACATATCATCCGTTTGCAAGATCGTGCATCATATATGACAGAATGGTAAAGCTATGAAGCTTGCACATCCGTTTGAGCGATAAAAAATATGCTAACATCAAATGCAGATATCCATTCTCGCGATGATATAAGGGTCAATCCATCAGGCACAAACATCCATTGTAGCGAAACATTAAAGATCAATAGACATTTTCGAGTTCATACAAATAATAAATATTTTCAAGTTCATGCAAGTAATAAATGTCTACAATCCACACCATGTACACGAGAAAAGTCGACGACATCCACACTTGATGAAAAATAACAATTGTTTTTGCGGTCTTGCATACTGGACTCAAAATATGTTTACATTACAGTAGAAATGGCATGATCATCCATTTAGACCATGGAAACAACTACTACACTCTTCACCAACCGAAGTATTTACATTTTCACCTTAAAGATAACTCCGACTCCATCAAGCGAAGTATTTACATCGCTCACTAACCCTATATAGAGAAATATATTTACATTACATGATTACAATTAAAATGTCATGATCATCCATTTAGACCTTGAATTTACATCATTCACTAACCCTACATCGATACAGATATTTACATTACAATAGAAATGTTATGATGGTCCATTTAGACCTCGAAAACAACCCCGACACTCTCCACCACGGAACAACTGGACAAAAAGGTGCGGAGGGGGCAGAGAGATCCACTCACCCATCACCCTGCGAGTGTGGATAGATATTTTGGGAGGCGCGCGACTATTGTTATGCCATATGAGATCACCTGGTGTATGACCCAAAGCCCGATCCTCTTGGATAGGATGATATTGAGGCGGACCCGTGGTCAGATCCTGACGACCTACGGACGAACTCTGGCGGCACAGCAGTGGAGGGCGTCCCACCAACAGAGACCGCCAACAACCATCGACTTGGACAACTAGGACTCAGAGACTCGGAGACAGTATGATGGCCGCAGCGAGTCCGCCGACGATCTCGATTTGGGTGGCGGACGTCGTTGATGATGACACTGATTAGTTATTTGACGATTGTTGAGTTTTTCTCACTCTTTGCATGTTATTTACTGGTTTTCCTTTTCTTAGCTGTGGACTTTGCATTTTTGTGCACCCGCTGCTCGCACACACATCGGGTTGTAGGTAGATGAGGTTAACTGTATTTTTCATGTTCATGTTTTTCAGATATCGGACATGTCATTATTGGTGTTGTTGATGCAATGTTTTTTTGTTTGTGTGGTACATGCCATGCTTAATGGACGAGATGTAGTACGTTTTTTTTTCAATCCATGTCTTTTTTTTACCTTTCAGCAGTCGCTTCTGGATGACCATGCTGTACACTATTCACGACTCGATACTCCTTTCGTTGCCATTGCAAGTGATATTGCTCACTTGTTCTGACTCTTTGACGTATGACTGGATGTATGATCTAATGTGTAGACAAAAATGTCTTAAGGTTGCAATTGAGTTACGTTGACGACCTCGTGTGCCCATGTTGTATGACTGTTGTTTGCTTGTTGGCCTTGTTGCACACACCGCAGACCACCCCCTTCCAATAACCCTTCACATACAGAAAACCCCTGCCACCTCGAAACACCTTGCCACCTAAGCCACCCCAAGAAAGTCCGTGACTCCCCCTTAACACCCTGCCGCACAACAAATCCCAACACCCCCCCGAGGGTGTTCAGATATGTTCTGGGGCAGGGTGTTAAGGGGAAGTCACGGTGTTTTCTGGAGTGGCTCAGGTGGCAGTGGGTTTCTGGGATCGGTGGTGGTGGGGGAGCGGGTGATGGAGCGTGTGAGGGGGTATCAGGGACCCTCACACCCCCCTTACACCATTTGCCCCCCCACCCCGCTACTCGCCCTATCACCCCCCAAAAATTGTTTTTCTCCCTGACCACGGCACAACCCCCTCACCTGCCCAATCCCTCCCCCCTCCCCCCCCCCCATCCCTACATGCATGAACCCCTGTAAAAAATATCCCTAAGGCCGCCCAACCCRCCCCCYCCCCCCCGCCCCCCGTTAAATTTTTCTATTTTTCGCTTTGTTTTCCCCCTGGAGGGCAGCCCCCAATGTGCGCCACTGCCGAGTCTGTTCCTACAGGCCCCCCGGAAAGGCCCGAAACTTCCTCGTACGCCCGTTCATACAGGCCGTACAACCGCCCGGGGGGCCATTCGTTTGGTCGTTCGATACGTACAGACGGAATATATCTGTACTGTGGTATACACAGGCTGTTCCAAGTGTGCATGGGAAGAGGTATGTTTACAGTGTGCGAGGGGAGAGGTATGTGGAAGAGTTTGGGTGTGGTCTGTGGAGGTGTTGTCCACCTCAATCATTGTTTCGGCCCCCAGACAAAAGCTTCTCTGGACTGCACCAGAAAGGCTGGCACACCCCATACACCTTGGACAAAGATGGTTACAGGGTGCAGGCGATTTCCTGGGGTAGCAACATCATTGCCATTTCCGTGGGGCTGCCATTTTTGTAGGACGACACTGTACAGGCTTCCCTACCGTTTTTAGCAGCCCCAGCGCAAACCTCGCGGACAGCACAAACTGGCCAATGGAAGTGGCCAGGACCGTTTGCTGGAAGGAATGGACAGCGATATGGGCAGGACCGGAAAACCGTGTAGTCAGTGTGCGGATGGCGTCCTCGCGAATGGCGCTCTATCGGAAGAAAGGTATGATAAGGGGATGAAAATGACTTTGACAGCAAACCTAAAACAAGCGGCGACAAATTGGATCTACAAGTTGAAGGAGGGGCAGCGTCGGCTGAGGGAGATGGTAACCCTTGTGTCCTCAACAGCCTGTGATTGGTCTGGAGTTGAAAGGGGGGAGACTTCAAGGACCGTATGGCTGGAGGATAAGCGGCAGAGGATGATGAATGTCCTTTGGGAACTTGAAGAGGGGCCTGATCCACAGCTGGAAGATCTCCTTGATTGGCAGCTCGCGGACTCCTTGATGAGCGATTGCTATGCGATTTACGAGGAAGGGAGCGATCTGTGTGATAAGGGGGCAATATGCACGTCGGGGTGTTGTTTGCGAGCGCTGCCACAAGTGGTCTGCAGCAATTTTCAGAAGCATCTTGCCATCCTCTACACCAACGGTAAATTCGACAGCAAAGACAACTCCAACAGCATCAACAACTGGTACGACAAGGACATCCTATTTTACACCAACAATCCACACAACAACTCCAACAACAGTGATAAGCTCTGCAGCTATATCAACAGCGACGATGATATCTTCAACACAATCAACACCAACGATCTTCTTCACGACAACAACAGCGCTTCTGACGATGACATCTGAACAACTTCCAGCAATAAGCTCATCAACTATATCTACATCAACCAACCGCGATGATATCATCAACATCAACAATTTTTCCAATGACGACAACAGCGATTTTGACGATGACATCTGAAATACAATTTCCAGCCATGACTGTCTTGCTCACCACGATCGATACAATCGGCGTCTAACTAAGATCTGTCGATGGGTCATCTACTAAGGTGAGGGCTATTTGATTTCTTCCCGCCCTCTCACATGAAAACTCTGCCGTGCATGAGATGATGCTGATCTGGGGATGCGGTGAGGGGTGGAAGGACGATGAGTTTTTCCCGTGGGATTCGGGAGGAAGAAGAGAGGCTGTGGAGAGGGGGTTTGGGAGGCAGGGGTGACTTCTTGGTTTGTTTTCTCTCCCCCCCCGCTCTTTTTTTCGTTTGTGTTGATCTCCCTAGTTTGGTGAATTCTTCCTCTCTTGTGGTGCTTGATTTCAGTCCATCTCATGGGGCCATATTCAATCCTTGGTCATCAGCGGTTAGGGTTTGACTTGGTTTGATGATTTTTACATATAAATTAGAATTTTCTTCCAATTAGTGTGCTCCCCTTTGGTTTGCGTCTGTATTAACTACTGTTGTTTAGGGGAAGCTCATCGTAATTACTGATGAACTACTTAACTTTCTGGCCCTGTTATCAATCTCTTTGCCTCATTTGTATCCCCCATGAAGTAGGGATAATTGAGGAGTCTCATAGGGGAAAGCTTGATTCTGCACACAACGGGGTTAATCCTTCCTCACTGGGAAGCAATCAATGCCCCGTGACTCTGCTATAGTCGTGTTATACAGGGAAGCTGTCTCCAGGGGAGCAGTGGCTGAGGCTTTCCCAGCCCTAATGGTAAGAGGGGTGCGTATAAGTGTTGTAATCAATTTCATAATTGGAGCCTTGGGCACTGGGCCCTTTCTCAAAAAAAAAAAAAAAAAAAAAAAAAAAAAGCGTAACTTCGGCGC